GATATTTTTCTTACTGATTTCCAATTTTTTATGGAACATACTTTGCATATTCTGCATACCTTGCCTGCTATTCAATTCATTGAGACTTGTTTTGTCCCCTACGTATGGTCTATTCTTGGTCAATTTTCCACATGTGCTTGAATAGAAGTACTGTTGTACTGTCATTCTACCAGTTGTTGACAGACGTTGAAATCTCCAACTGTAAATATGGAGTTCTTTCTCTTTTCAATTTCATTGTTTTTATTCATGTACTTTGAAGCTCTGCATAAATATTTTTGTTATGACCCCTTTATCTTCTTGAAATGTCTCTTTATCCTTGGTAGTATTCCTTGCTCTAAAATCTTGTCTATTATTAATGTGGCTACTCCAGCATTTTTTACTTAAAAGCCTTTTTTTAAAGATTTTATTTATTTATTTATTTCTAGAAAGAGGGAAAAGGAGGGAGAAACAGGGAAAGAAACATCAATGTGTGGTTGCCTCTCATGTGCCCCCTACTGGGGACCTGAACTGGCCCAAAACCCAGGTATGTGCCCTGATTGGGACTCAGACTGGTGACCCTCTGGTTCAATTCACTCTGTCTACTGAGCTACTCCAGCCAGGGCTGACTGAAAAGTCTTGTCTTCACAATATTATTTGATGGTTTTAAAGATATTGTTCCATTGCCCTTTTATTTGCATGTTTCTGATGAAGAGTGTACTCTCATTTTTATTTTTGTTCCTCTAAATGAATGTGTCATTTTTCTCTGTCAGGTTTTAAGATTATTTCTTTATCATTGGTTTTCATATACTTTAATTGTGTGGTTTTTGTTTGTCTTCTTTTCTACATGTTTATTCTCCTAAGATTGGTTAAGCTACTTGGATCTATGAATTTATAGTTTCCATCAAATAGGAAACAATTCAGCCATTATTTCTTCAAATATTTTTTTGTCCTCCCTCTCCTCCTTCTGGAAAGCCACTTACATACAGGCAAAAGTAGGTTTATAGTTGTTCATATGGAAGACAATACAATCCCTAATAAATAATACAAGAGTAAGCTGTTTCATGTAATCACAAATGTAAACCTACTTTTGTCTTCATCCTTATATTTTAGACCGCTTCATATTAAAATATAATATTTATGCTTTTTTCAGCCTTTTTTGTTGTATTTTATTTTCTATAATTCAGAACTGTGTCTTCAAGTTCATTAATATTTTATCTCCAGTATCTAATCTACTTTTGATCCCATTCAGTTTATATTCTTTTTAAGTATTTTTTATTGATTATGCTGTTACACTTTTCCCAATTTTCCCCTCTTATCCCCCCTCCACCCTGCCTTGCAACCCTCTAGCATCCCCCTACCTTAGTTCATGTCCATAGATTGTACATACAAGTTCTTTGAGTCCTCTGTTTCCTATACCATTTTTTATCTCTACTCATCTATTTTATGCCTACTAATTATGCTTCTTCTTCCCTGTACCTTTTCCCTCCTTCCACCTCCCCACTGAAATCCCTCTGTGTGATGTGCATTTCTCTGATTCTGTTCCTGTCTGGTTGTTTGCTTAGTTTTTGTTTTTGTTGTTTCTCTTTTCTTTTGGGTTCATTTGTTGATAGTTGTGAGTTTGTTGTCATTTTACTGTTCATTTTTTATCTTCTTTTTTCTTAGGTAAGTCCCTTTAACATTTCATATAATAAGGCCTTGGTGATGATGAACTCCTTTAACTTGAGCTTATCTGGGAAACACTTTATCTGCCCTTCCATCCTAAATGAAAGCTTTGCTGGATAGAATAATCTTGGATGTAGGTCCTTGCCTTTCATGACTTCAAATACTTCTTTCCAGCCCCTTCTTGCCTGCAGGATTTCTTTTCAGAAATCAGCTGATATCATAATGGATACCCTTTTGTAGGTAACTCTCTCCTTTCCCCTTGCTTCTTTTAGGATTTTATCTTTGTCTTTAATCTTGGGTAACTTAATGATGATGTGCCTTGGTGTGTTCCTCATTGGTTCCAACTCCTTTGGGACTCTCTGGGCTTCCTGGACTTCCTGGAAGTTTTCCTTCAGCAGGTTGGGGAAGTTTTCCTTCATTATTTGTTTAAATAAGTTTTCAACTTCTTGCTGTTGTTTTTCTCCTTTTGGCACCCCTATGATTCAGATATTGGAATGTTTCAGGTTATCCCAGAGATTCCTCAACCTCTCTTCAGTTTTTGGGATTCTTGTTTCTTAATTCTGATCTGGTTGGATGTTTATTTCTTCCTTTTGTTCGAAATTGTTGCTTTGAATCCTAGTTTCCTTCCTGTCACTGTTGGTACCCTGAATATTTTACTTTATTTTGGGTATTTTTCATTCGTTCTGTCATTTTTCAAACAAGCTCAATCGCTTCTGTGAGCATTTTGATTACCAGGGCTCTAAATTCTCCATCAGATAGGTTGGCAATCTCCTCATTGTTTAGTTCTCTTTCTGAGGCTTTGCACTGTTCTTTCATTTGGGCCCTATTTCTTTGTCTTGGCACAGCTGATACATTGTAAGGAGTGGGACCTTAGGTATTTACCCAAAGAAGGACAACCCTCTTTGCTGCGCTGCAACACTGCCTGTGGGGGAGGGACCAGAGAGGGAATAGTGCTGCTCATCTGCTCATCTCTAACACACTTTCCAATGGACTCAAGACTGGGAGAAACTCCCACTGTGGCAACCCTGCCATAGCCCACAGTCAGCTCTGAGTCTCCGTTTTCCCCTTAAGTCAGTCCCTCCCTTGCAGCCCAGGGAGCACCACAGCCAGCCCCGCCCCCACAGTGGGTTGTGTGGCTCAATGCTGCAGTTTTTCTGAGTAGGCTGCGTGGTCCAATGTCTTACTGGTCTGGTTGTTCTGGTTGATTTTTTCTTTAATTCCTTGGTTGTTGGAGTTCCTTGCAGTTTTATTTTCTGGCGCTTTTGGTTGTTTATTGATTTTAGATTGGTTGTTATCCTCCTTTTGGTTGTGCAAGGAAGCAAAGTGTTTCCACCTATGCCTCCATCTTGGCCGGAACTCTCCCATTCAGGTTATATTCTTATTTCAGATATTGTATTTTTCATGTCTGAAAGTTCAGCTTGGGTTCTTTCTATACCTTCCATTTCTCTCCTCATCATGCTTTTATCCACTACTGTATTGTGGTAGCTTGTCTGTTAATGCTATCATCTGTCAGTCTGTCTTTTTCTGCTGACTGATTCTCTTGACTTTAGTTTGTATATTCTTTCTTTATCCCATATGTGGTAATTTTTTATTAGATACTAATCATTGTGAATTTTACACTTTTGGTGCAGTATTTTATTATAGCTCTTTACATTTTGAGGAGGGTTTTTTTCCCTCCTTGGATGCAGTCTACTTACTTGAAAATAGTTTGATCCTTTCAAGTTTTGCTCTCGTTAGCACAGGTCCAGAGCTGCCTTCAGTCTAAAGTTATTCCTACCCCCACCCCACCCCCACTCCCACTGAAATAATATCTTGCTGAACTCAGTACTCCATGTATTAAAAGATCTTTCCACTGTGGTTGAAACATAAATTACTCCAAGCCTTTTATGAACTCTGAGAATTTTTCATCACTCCTTTCTCCTGTCCTGTTATTCTTTCCCCCACCTGAGGCAATTACTTTCCTGGATTTTTTTCTCCTCCTTTAAGGAAAATTAAATTTTTATTTGGCAGATAATTAAGTTACTTGGGGATCACCTTGATTCTCTCAAATTTCATTTTTAAGCTTCGTTAAAGTTGGTATACATTAGCTTTTAGTCTAGTGCAGACTTAGACCTCCTACTAAGGCATGGCTTTTCTGACGTCTCTCTACTCGATGCCCCACATGTTTAACAAGGTCTGTCCTCTCTGGCTGGTTGGAATTCAAATGCCTCCCAGCACTGTATGAATTTTTCTAGTTTATACATATGATATATTATTACATATCTTATTATTACATAGTATATATGATATATAAAACTCATAGAATTTCTCCATTTATAAATTCCTGGCAGTTCTCTTTTTCACCTCATGCAGTATATATGCATCTACATCCATGTAATTATAAACTAATAATTTTTTCACTTTCAAAGGCTTATATGTGTGTATACCTTCAGGAGGTGCAAGGTAGACAAGAAACTAGAGGAACTGTACCTAATGCTAAAGTCAGTCTTTTGTAGAAGACCAGTTCATTGGATAGATGAGGGCAAACATCAGGAGGAAAAGAAACCAGGCTGAGTTTCTTGGGACTATTCCAAGAAGAAAAAGAAAAACATGGAGAGTTGGCCTAGACCTCAAAGCTGATCCTTGAGTCTAATCAAACAAAGCTCCATCTGAAGCTTCTCCATACAAATGATAATTTCAAGATGACTGGCTGGGACTTGAGGCACAGTGTGATGATGGGCCATCATTTTTCCTAAAAAAAAAAAAATGGGGCTAGAACCATACCCTTTACCTTATTATAATAAATGTAACCAATAACCTGAGCTCCCATGTGCAAACACTTTATACACTTTGCAGGTTAACCATGGACTAAAAACTTTTTTTTTGGTCTTTGGTATCCTTCCAAAATGCACAATTCACAGAGCTTCATTTCTCATCTCCTATAATTATTCTTTCGCAGAGCATATCAAAAGATAGCAAGCCAGTTTGAAACTGGCTTAGGGTATTCAAGTAAAAAGATTCAGCTAAACAGCAACTCAAATATAAGCAAAGGAAATAGGCCTAAAGCACATTATGCATTTAGAATGGACCAGTCCTGCATGATAATCAAGGTGGAATAAGCACCCTGAAGTATTATTAATGATCCACTGAGAGCAAGATGATCTCTAAGGTACTTTCTAACTGTGAAATATTATTCTGTCTTATCTATCAAAAATAACTGATGGCTTATTACTACACGTTTTACAGACGACATTTCCGTCTTTTCCTACTAAAAATAAATATTTCAACTGTTGTCATCATCCAAAGGTGCCACCGCTTTTATTTGTTTACCAGATCATAAGATGATACTGACCCACTACCCTTGACCTAGTCAACCTCTACGAAAGACTTAATGATGCTATTTAGGATGCATTTCCTTGCTGCTTTGTGCAGGCAGCTTTCGCATAGTCGCGTAGACAGTGATGGGAACATCAGTTATTGTCAGGCAATGACTTCCATGGCATCTTCGGAGCTGTCTAAACAGAAGAGCAAGTGACATGTAGTTAGACACTAAAAGGGAAACTTTTTCAGAGCACCTAAATTTTAGTAAATGTTCAACCGTTTTAAATAATTTTGATATCTTTGAATATCACAAAGTAATTATGACACAATGGCAGTGATGAGGCAGACAGTTTAGACTTATGTTGCAAGGAAGTTGTAGTTATTACCACACATTTAATCACAGGGAATTCATAACCTCAAAGATAACCCTCCAAGTGTTCATTTTGAAAAGTACACTATAATTGCTAAATGGCCAAACATTTTAAAAAGGAGGGTGTGCATAGTTTTAACATGAGTGATAATACTAAGGCAATTCATACATATATGCAACTTAAAATCACTTCAGTTGAGTCTATTTAAAAACTAGAATATTTGTGGAAAATATAAAACTGAACACATTATTCCGTATACTGTTCAAATGTTAACGGAATTTCAGGTTCAAAAGAGCACTTAAATGACATCTAGTCCCAAAATGCATCTAGTGCTTGAGATTCCTTTCCAGCATTTCCACCAAATCATTATCCAACATTAAACATTGTTAAAGACAAGTGCTCCTGGCTGGCGTAGCTCAGTGGATTGAGCGCGGGCTGGGAACCAAAGTGTCCCAGGTTCGATTCCCAGCCAGGGTACATTCCTGGGTTGCAGGCCATAACCCCCAGCAACCGCACATTGATGTCTCTCTCTCTCTCTCTCTCTATCTATCTCTCTCTCTCTCTCTCTCCCTCCTTTCCCTCCCTAAAAATAAATAAATAAAATCCTTAAAAAAAAAAGACAAGTGCTCAGTATTTCCCAAAGCAGCCACTTCCACCCTTGAATAACTCTGATTTTTAAAGTACCTATCTTAGTAAGCTTAAATGTGTGTTCTAAAAATTATCAGTTTTTAAAGAAACCTAACAATGTAGTATTTGACATTTTACTATGGTAAGCAGCAGAAAAGTGGAACAAATTCTAGTATAGTTTTCTTCAATTTGGCAAAAAATTATTTTGTTTTATAGAATCTTCATGTTCTCTATCATTCTCCACCAAAGTCAAAGTGACACTAAATCTAAGATCCGCATCTTCATATTCAAGATTTTCTTGTTTAGTCGGAATTTAACTAAACATGAAACTATCAACAAAAAAAAACAAAAAAAATTATTTTAGAAAAAGAATTGTCCTGTCATTAAGACTTACAAAGACTTACAGAGGTATAAAATACAGACTGTGCTAAGAAAACCTGAGATCTGTTAAAACCAGTTTAATAACAGCAATGTCCCTGGGCTCTTTTCTTGCTAATATTGAACCTCTGCTACAGCTCATATCAATGACAGCCATTACACATTTCCTCAGCTGGCAAGGTGAGAAGACTTTACCTGGCTGGTGATATCTCTTTCCCATTACAGGCAACACTGGACCTCAGGCCAGGTCCCAGCCCAATTGTAGAATCTCCTCCTTCCACTGGAAACCTCCGTGGCTGAGTCCCAAACCGAAAAGGCATAATTCACTGAAAACCTAGATTAGAAAGCTATAATAATGGATGGAGGTGGGGGGTGAGTTATCCTCAGATAGTTGTTTGGAATTTTTTAATGTTAATATTGATATTTTGTTACAGGCATATTCCAACATTCAGAAAATGACATTAAAATATCTATAAAAATAAATTCTAATACCTATGATATTAGTCTTACAACAAATACAGAATGGCCACTAGTTAATAAAACTGTGTCCTATGGTTAACATAACAAGTCCATTTTTGCTGTGTGAAAAAAAATTTAGTTTGCTTTTATGGTTATTGCAATCAATAAGCTAGAACCCTTATTCTGACCTCCTACTGCCTCTCTGCCTGTCTAAGCCCTTGTCTTCCTTTGAAGTACAGCTGAGTTTCACGTCATCATGGTATCTTCTGCTAACCCTCTATTCCTGGTCATCACTCATTCCCCACTGCCTCTCTATATTTACAGTATATTAGTTAAGAAAGTCCTGAGAGAGTTGAATTGACTATGTGATCTTAGGCAAGGTACTTAATGAAGTATGTTTCCCAAGGATAAATCAGAAATAATAATAGCATCTACTTCCAGGGCAGTAGTGAGGATTAAATAAGATAATACATGTAAAGTGCGGTACCTAACACAGAGTTAGTGCTCAATAAATGTTAACTATTATTATTCGGCAGATGCTACTGAGCATTATTAAATATATACACATATATATTGTAATCTGTGTGTAAAAATACACACACACATACACAGCTATATAAAATAAGCTCTTTACTGCCTACTGTTGTCTCTGCTTGGAACCCTTCCTCACCCCAGTGCTCCCGCCCTTTATTTGTTAGAGCCAACTCATTCATTAAGTCTAAATTCATATTTCACTTTCTCAGAAGAGCCTTCCATAACCCCCTCCCATTATGTAAGTTTTAATAGCATACTTTATTTCTGTCTTGTAACAGTTATCATCATTGTAATTTAGGATTTCTCAACTGTGACACTATTGACTTTAGGATAGCATATTTTTTGTTGGGGAGGGAGGAGACTTCCTGGGCATTGTAGGATATTTTGCAGCAGCCAAGGTCTCCACCTACTACATGCCAAAATTGTACACCTCTCCCAAACTTCTGACATTCAAAAATGTTTCCAGACATTGCCAAACAACGTCTAGCAGAGAAAGAAGATGGGGGTGGGGGTCACCTTCTGTTGCGAACCAGGACACTAATTTTTTATAAATGTTTTTGTTTAATCATTGTACCCACACCGCATTCCATGTCTGTCTTTGTCACCATTGTCTGACTCCTCGATACCTGGAACAGTGTCTGGCACATAGCAGATAATTAACAACTCTATCTTATGTAAATTTGCATGTCTTCAGTAAAAGATAGGGAAAATGAAAAATGTCTTACAACTGTTTCTTGTGCTCAGTTTAGTATCCTATGCCTAGTAAGTAAATGTTTACTGTGGTGATGATGAAACTAAATGAAGTTTAAGAATTTGATTATTATGTAACCATCTTTATAGACTGTGTGTCAGTTATCAAGTAAGAATTTACGCTCAATGACAAGTTAGTAAAATCTGTGGTTTGGTATAGCTATCTTATATAGATATTAGGTTTTATTATCTTGCTCAAGGATGCATAGACTTACCAAAATAGGCTGAGTCTGATTCCTGTAGAGGTGAATAAATCAATTGCTTCTACTGACCTTCCATAGAAGCCTGAATTGCTGAAGGAATGATGATCAAATGTTCCAGTGACACCCAGAAATTGTGACATCAGACGATTCTTTTACATAGTTTCCTACCTGCTAAATAAGAAAATGTCACAATTCATAGCTCCAGTAACAACCTAGAACGTAGCTAAAAATTGTGTCTCCAAAGTTTGTTTGAAGGTTTTTTCTTATTGTCACTGCCTTGTTTATTTTTCTAACATGAACAATATTTTAATCTGTGAATGAATTTATCTATAGCTATTTTAGACCTACAGTCTAATCAATCTGCACAAAATCTCATGAGATTCTTCTCACTTTGAATCCCATTTCCTCTCTATCTTCTAGACTTTCCTTTAACAAGTACCACGGATTATAAATCAAGTCTACTTATATCCTCCTCGCACTTCAATGGCCTCAAACTACACCTTTATAAGTCTGTCTATAGCTCCTACTGTGTATGATTCTTTACAGCTCTCTCTAGTACCTGGACTACCTCTTTTTTCTGTTTCCTCAAATGAGCCTTGAAATTCCCAAGGCTCTTTTCCAAGTGAAATTCCAAATGACTGCAACAGTGATGGCTGAGAAAGGAAGACTACATCTTGCACTGTCCTCTCCTGTTCCCTGGGCCCTGAAGTTCTCTGTTCGTAACATCTTTGCCAAAGGAATGATAATCAACTGTCCCTGTAACATCCACCAATTATGACATCAGGAATTCTTTCACGTAGTTTTCTACCCGCTAAAGAATAAAATGTCTCAATTCTTAGCTCGAGCAGCAAGCTGAAAATTATCGTCTGGACTTCCCTCCCTCTCCCAATTTCTGAAACAACAGTAATCTTACTGAATGTAATACTTAAGTTTAACACTTAAGACAGAAATTACTCTTCAATTAACATTTTTAAAATTTTTCCTAACTGATGACTGAACTATTAAATGCTAGCAAGCATTTTTATATTTAATGAAAATCCTTTTTAATACCTACATTTAGTGTTAAGTTCCCACTGCCCTGTTTTCATGTGATTTATGTTATAGGGAATTGGCACTTTATATATTTAAGTTGATATTAGACAAAAATCTTACCTCTACCTTCTTTTTCTCACTAGGGTGCTATCAGTGAATAGATGATTACAGTTTTATCTTAGAGCAACCATTTAACTGACTGTGTCACAGTCAGACACGTTGCAATAACTGCTGGCCATTGTTAGCTACTGTATCCATCATCAGGACCTAAAGATTTGACCCCCAGGATGGCAATTTTTTTAGTAGTTTAAAAATAAGGATTTTGACATCAAAATTAGATTTGAATTTTAAAACCATATTAACTATGAGACTTTGCACAAATCACTAAAAAGTTTGTCCATTATATAATATAAATCCCTTCATGTAGAGTTGTTTTGAGGAATAAAAAAAAAATCTAACATGTAATAAAGCCAATGTCTCAGATATGAAAGTCAAATCAGCACATTTTCTTTTGCATAGTTCTTGAAATCAGAGTGCTGAGTCATGATTTCACTTTCTAGGTATCAATGTATCTTTAAACTACAAAGTAAAGTATCTGCTAGTGGAATATTCTTTAATTACTCTTTTAACTTTTTTTTTACTAGTTTATTTGGCACAAGCTGTACCAAGTTTCTTTTTTTAATATGGGTGATATCATGAAACAAACTAAACAGTAGCTTTAATCATGAAATTTTCCAGCACAAAAAATAACTTACAAGAAAGGAAATGAACTGACTCTCCAGCAGATCTTCACAGAGAAATGAACTAATAAGTGAAATGTAAATAATGGGGGGGGGGGGGGATAGTGAAACCTCTAAATATTCTCCTTAATTCTCTTAAGTCCAAGAATAATAATCTTTCAATCCTTAGCATATTGATTCGGCATATTGATTCGTGACATGCAGAAAAGGAGTGGTGTTTGAACAAGTCATCTCCTAAGAAAATAGATCCATTATTAGAATTCATTCATACAGCAAGTAATTGCTGAGGATCCACCAGCCAGGCATGTGTTTAAAGCTGAAAATAAAATATTGAACATAACAAATACATTGTCTCTCCTAGTGGAGTTTAAAGGTTAGGATAGGGTATGTCCTTGACTAGGATATCAAACCTAAATCTAAAGGACAAGTTGGCATCAACTAGATGGAAATGGGTGGGAAGAAAAGACAATGAGACAGTTGGGGAGGAAACAGCATGTGCAAAAGTCATCTGCCAGTAGAGAAGACAGCCGAAGACTTGAACTAATAATGGCAGAGAAAATAAAGAAATCAAGTCAGATAAATAAGTTGAAGCTAAACTGTACTGGAACATAAATCCAAGTTAAAGATTCTAAACTTTATCTTACATGCAAGGCAGCCCAAAAAGAATCTTAATCTCTCAGGAAACACATACAGGTTTCACTGATTCTTCTCTATTAATTTTCTGTTTTCTATTTATTTGATTTCTACTCCAATCTTTAGTATTTACTTTTTTCTGTTTAGTTTGGGTTTAATTTTTTAATTTGGGGGTCTTAAAATGGAAGCTTAGGTCATTGATTTGAGATCTACTTCCTTAACATAGGCATTTAATTTTATAAATTTTTATCAAAGCACTACTTTACCTTCATTACATAAAATTTAAAAGTTTGTATTGTTCATTTCATTCATTTAAAATTTCCCTTTCATTTCCTTCTTTGGTCTCTGGGTAAATAACACAGAGGCTAAATAAAATAATGTAGTTTTTTAAATAAAAACTACATTATTTTGTTTGCAAATATTTAGGAATTTTCTACCTATATCTCTGTTATCAATTTCTTACATTCCATTCTTGTCAGAGAACATTTTGCATGGTTTGAATTATTTTAAATTTATTGACCTTTGTTTATGGCCAGAATACATTCTGTCCTGGTAAATAATCCATATACATTTGAAAAGAATGTGTATTCTGCTGTTATTTGGTGAAATGTTCTAAACATGTAATTAGTTGGTTCACAGAGTTGTTCAAGTCTTCTTCATTCTTACTGATTTACTGGATACCTGCTTATGAAATATTGAAGTAATGATATCTCCAGTTATAATCATAAATTCATCTGTTTCTCCTTTCTATTCTGTCAGTTTTTGCTTTATATATTTTGGAGCTCATCATTAGGTGCATAAATATTTAGTAGTATTATGTCCTCTTGATGAATTGAAACCTTTATTATTATAAAATATCCTTCTTTATCCCTAGTAATACTCTTTGCTCTAAAATATGCTTTGAAAAAATTATTAAATAAATAACAAAATAAAATAACTATGCTTTGTTTTAAATTTATACAGGTACTCTTTATTTATTAGTGTTAATATCATGTATTTATCTTTTCTAATTTTTTTTACTTTTAACCTATTTAGTCTTTATATTCATGGCTTTAGTCTTTATATTAGTCTATTAGTCTATTTACTCTTTATATTAGAAGTGGCTTTTTAATAAACAGTATATAGTTGGATTTTGCTATTTACCTATTCTAACAATCCCTTGCTTTTAATTAACCAAATATTTTTGCTATTTACACTTAAGATGATATAATTAAACTTAAATCTGACCTCTTGCCATTTGTATTTGACTTGTGCTGTCAGTTCTTTGTTCACTTTTTCTTATTATTCTGTTCTTTTGAAGCAACTGAGTGTATTCTATGATCTATTTTATCTCCATTACCTGTTTATTGCTATACAACTTTCATGTGTTGTTTTGCTTTGTTTTGATTATTTTAGGCTTTATAATATATATTTTAACTTTTCAGTCCACCTTCAGTAACATTACACCACTTCCCATATACTAAAAGAAACTTACAAGAGTGTATTCCATTCCCCCTCCCATCCTATTATTTTTGTACTATTTTGTCATATATAAAATAATGAACATTTGAATAATGAAATGAAATAAAACATTTTACTTCTACCTATATCATAAACCCCACAACATTATTGGTTTTTCTTTAAGCAATTATCTTTTTTAAGACATTTTTAAAACCATTAGATGTCTTTTATATTTATCCACATATTTATCATTTTCCATTTTCTTTATCCCCTTAAGTAGACCCAGATTTCCATCCAACATCGTTTTACTTTTACCTGAAGGTTTTCATTTAACAGTTCTGCTCTCCGGGCTATTAAGTCATCCAAATTTTGTATGTTTTTACTTCATCTTCGTTTTAGAACAAAATTTTTGGTGCACATACAATCCTAAATCAACAGTTTTGTTTCAAGTACTTTAAAGATTTTGTTCCACTGTTTCTGGCTTACATTGGTTCCAACAAGAAAGTCTGCTGTTATTCTTATCCTCATTTTTCTATTTCTAGTGTGTCTTTTTCCTCTAGGTACTTTAATATTTTCTGTTTATGACTGATATTAAGCAATTTTATTATAGTGTGCTTGGTGGAGATTTATTTCTGTGTCTAAAGTTTCATTGAGCTTCTTAAATCTATGAATTTATAATTTTTACCACACTTGGAAACTTCTCAGCCATTGTTTTTTCAAGTATTTCTTGTTTCCTCCTTCTAGAACTCCCATTACATGAATACCAGGCTGCCTGAAATTGTCCCATAGCTCACTGAACCTCCTTTTTATTATGATTTTTCCTCTGTTTTATTTTGGATAGTTTCTATTGCTATGTCTTTAAGTTAACTACTCTATTCTTTTGCAATGTCTAACCTACTCTTAATTCCATCCAGTATATTTTTCATCTCATACATTGTATTTCTTATTTCTAGAGGTCTAATTTGTGTCTTTTATATTTGTCTCTTCTTAATGTTTTTATGCTTCCTTCTACCTTCTTGAATATAAAAAACTATATTTGTAAGTTGTTTTAATGTCCTTGTCTACTAATTCTTTCATTTGTGCCATATCTTGGTTTGTTTTTACTGATTTTTAAAATCTCATTATGGAGTATATTTTTCTACATTTTACATGTCTTGCAATTTCTTATTTGATACTAGACATTGTAAGTTGTACATTGTTGAATGTTCAATTTTATTTTCAGTCCTCTAAGTATTTTCAAGTTTTATTCTGGGACACAGTTATTTGGAAACAGCTTGGTCCTTTAGAGAATTGATTTCATGAGTTCTTGGGCTAGATCAGAACAGTCTTTCATCTGTAGCTAATTTTTCTTCACTAACGAGGCAATAGCCTCCTATGTATTTAACTCAGTGCTCCCATGTATTACAAGGTCTTTCCACTCAAGATACTGAGAATGTGAACTAGCCCTGTGAGAACCCCAGGAATTATCCATCCTGCTTCTTTCCAGTCATTCTTTCCTCAGTCTTGGGTAGTTTCCACATCTCTACTGATCAGTATTCAGTGTAAGGCTCACCAGGAATTCCCTGAAGATCTCCAGGGATTTCTCTTTATACTCACTCATTTCTGGGACTCTGCCCTGCAAATTCTAGCTGCCTTGGTCCCCCGGAATTCTCAACCCTGTCTTCCCAACTCAGAGTAGCTACTTAGCTGTGTCTGGGCCATATGTATTAGAAAGAGGTCACTAGGTCCAGCCCAGACTCAAAGGGAAGGCACTATACAAAAATAGGAGACAGCAATCATTGGGTGTCATCTTGGAGTCTGCCTGACATGCTGTGCTATGATGTTACACATGAGAATGCTTGTGATGTACTTACACGTTTGTCAAATATTTCTGGATTTCTCTATTTCAGAAATTGCAATTCCCCTATGATTATGTGGAGCCCATTGACTAGTTCAGGCCAGTGAGTTAGCAAAAGCCATTAAATGCAGTGCAAGACCCTCCTGAGTTGTCCTCTCTGCCACAAAACCAGGAATGAACCAAACAGTGGTAGCTCAGCAACTTAAGTACCAGAGTGAGGATAACACAAATCATAGCCACCAGACATCCTCCTCACAATGGACATGTATTATGTGCAAAAAATTAAACATTTGTTGTTTTACACCACTGAGCTTTGGGGGTTGGTTGTTACCACAGCATAACTAAACTTATCCTGACTTATGCAGACTTAGGTCCAAGCGTAGATACTGCCATAACAACAAACCTAATATATATGTAACTCTTTAAAGCAAGTGGTCAAGCAGCAAGTGACATGGAAATTGTTCTTGGAAGCTGAAAGTATAGGTAGGTATCTATGTTACTCAGTGGTAACCTACTGGAAAAACCTTTGGAAATTTTTGTAATAACCTAGAAGGCAGATGATTTACTAGTGAACTTTAATGCTAAGTGAAAAGGTTGAAAGAATGTTGGTAACACTTTGGTTGCTATTGCTATATTTGTCAAGATATACATAAAAGAGATAGGCTCAGAAGACTATACTTTCAGGGATCATTTCCATAGTTCTTTAAAAGAGATCGGCTCAGAAATGCAGTGTGCAAGCAGAATAAAAATGAATAGAGTACCCAGAAATCCAAACTATATTTTATGACAACTTGAAAAACTATATAATTTTTAGAACACATTTTCTTTCCCCATGGAACTTTGTAACATTTTTTTCAATATATCCCAGAACTGACTGTCCTATACATGAGCCTAAATAAGCCTAATTGCTTTTTCTCCATGCCCCCTCCTTTTGTTTCTTGACTGGGTACCTAAAGAATTCTTTCTTTATTCTGAAAATTTAGAAACTTAACCAGGATATATACCTTAATGTTGACTGTCCTACATAAATTTTCCATGGAATATAGTGTATACTTTCAACCTATGCATTTTTATTCCTTTATTATTTTTTATATCAGTAAGAATATTTCTTTTCCATTGGCTGTGTTCTCCATTTCAGGGGGACTTTTTAATCTTACATTGAACTATATTGTCTCTTATACATATATTATCTTTTAAGAGAGTTAATATCTTTTTCTTTTGCTTTACTATTCTCTTTGATTTTTTTCAAGGCTTTCCTCTACATCATTATTTTAAGTTTAAGCTCTCTAGTTTTCTTCATGCTTCTAATTATTTACTAGTCCTTTAAGGTGTTCTGGCCTTCTATTAAATTCCTTTGCTCTTTTATCTCCATTCGAATTCATTTATTCATCAAATATTTATCAACTACCTACAGTAAACCAGGCAATCTTCTAGTTAGTAAGGATATAAAGTGAACAACACAGGTAAGATTCAGCCCTCACAGATCATACTTCTCAATATATTGCTAGCATTTTTAAGTCCCTGTGTTATTCAGTTCATACTCTTATTATTAAGTTCCTCTAAAGCACAAACAATATATGAAGAATTTTGTTTTTTCCCCCTTAAGTAGTTTTTATCCAGGTCATATACTTCATCCATCTTTTGAATGCCATTTTCCTTTCTTCCTTCTTTCTTTCCTTCTTTCATTCCTTCCTTTTATAGTAGTAGCCTGCATAATTCTCAATTTTTTTTCTCTTGCTCATATTTAACATTAAATTCTGCCCAATCTGGGTTTTTCTGTTGGTGGTATTTTGTGTTTTTGGTTTTGGTTTTGGTTTGTCAGTCAGCTATTGCTCTAATATTTCAATTTTTGGCTTCAACTAAAATTATTTTACTTTCTCATAAGACTGTGGATAGTCTTCTATTCAGCTGATCTCCACTTGCCTCACCTGGGTATGCCAATGATAACTAGGACTCTGCATCTCGAGATTCAGACTCAGATATGATCCATGTCTTCATTATTTTGCAAACAGCAACCAATTGAGGCAGTTTTTCATAGGAAAAATAGCAAAGTCCAAGAGATGAAAGCACATCTCAAACCCCTTTTAGTTTCCAATAAATAAATAAATAAATAAATAAAGCCCCTTCTAGTTTCATACCTGACTTCATTCCATTGGCCAAAGGAAGCCACGTGACCAAACCCAGAGTCAACGAGGCAAAGATGTGTACTCTACCTACTCTACTATACCAGAAGGTTCTACATAGTCATGTGCAGAAGGGATGGGTAAAGAATTTAGAACAATAACTCAATCTACCATACTCTACTATTGTGTGGGCAAGTTCTTCTTTTCCACTTATCCGAAACTTGTTCTTCCACTTACAGCTAGAGCATGAAAGTTAAGTCATATTTTCCTTTTCATTGTGTTTTTATTAGAGGAAGTACTATATTAGCAAGAATTCCCCTAAGCTGTGTGTAGCTTTCCAGGATGACCTGGGTTCTACTTGCTCTTCTGAGAGTAGGTTGAATATCTTAAATGAGGTCTCAGTTCATTTATTAGGACTGAATTCAACTGCAGGATACGCTCAGATTTATGACTTCAGTGTGGACTCCTGGAAAACATAAATTCTATCTTAAATCTTTTTTGCCTCTACTGAGGTCCTGAAGTAGTGGTATGCAAGGTTCTACCTTCATTTTTAAACAGAATTGCCTCTCAGTCTTATTCTCTCCAGGATAAAGTTATTAATGAGACTTGTTAGGGCTTTCTTAATTTAACTTCATTCCCATGTAAGATCTCTGGAGAATAATGACTGGGAGAGAACCACAGCATGTGCGGTAGAGCTCTGCAGAGGCCAGAATACCAGAGAAGATGGAACCATAGATCACCGACTCACACCTACAAACATCACTGTCTACAAACTGAACCAAACTTTGCAAACTTTGGAAGCCCCAGACTTTGGGATTTCAACAACAAGACTTAAAGTGAAATGTTGGAGGTGCCACATTGCACCTCCACCGCTGACTCCACTGACTTCACTAAAAGGTAGTTAAGAGTAAAATCCAGCAATTACAAAAAAAACTGATTAAAAGTTGCCTATTAATCACAAAAGATTTAAGTACTAAGGTGAAAAACATCCAAATATAAATGTGGGAAAGCCTCAATGCCATGAACCACCATTGCAACTTCAAACTTAACAACTATCAGAAAAACATGGTCACAACTATTATTTGTCCTGGTGAAGTAAAGTGTTCCTAATACCACACATTAATTGCACATATACTTTAACTTTTTTTTATGAAGACTTCCTAGAATTTTAGAGCTCCTCCAAATTTTTGTGGAAAATATTAATTTCATTTCAGATTGAGTTCTTGGTTGAAATCTCATCCAAGTTTATCAATAAGGGTTTACAGTATTCAATGTTTGACAATTTTAAGGAGTTAGTAATTTTAAGGAATGTATTATTTTTCGATCTTTTCTTTCTTTTACCCGTCTAAGCACTGTATATGAATCAAATGCCTAGTTTTAATTTCATCTCTCTCAACAGCCTTCTGTTGACTCATTTACACCCTCTTCCACTGAATCCTACTGCATTTAGCACCACACAATGTTTTAAGTCACAATTACTTAACTACTTCGTGTGTATCTTCAATTAGATTGTAACTTGCTTGGAATCTATGTCTTAACTTCTTTTGTACAGGCCCCCCAGAGGGCCTGTACGCTAATGTTGAAAATCTACAGCTTTGACAAACACTGATTGGGTCTCTAAAGCGCCATTTTGCAAACCACCAAGTTTCGGTTGCACCTTGCCACGCCTACTAGTCTGAGGTTTCTTTGTGCTCACCAATCTTCGTTTTCTATTTAGAACAAAGGGCTTGTTGGACAGAGACACTAACGCACCGACCCGAGGAACCTGCAAGAAGGGAATTTGACCCGCTGCGCAGGGTGTTGAGCCTGTAAACGAAGGCTAAACCTCTAAGGAGAGCCCACCAACAGTTTTAAAGACACATGTTTTAAAATCCTACTCAAAGCTGAGTTACCCTCCAGTTACCCTGGCCTCGGGTGCTGCAGATGCTAAAAGATGTTGATAAGGCAGCGAGGAGCTAAGGTCCGAGACCCTGTCGCTATGGTAACAACCAGACGCAGGCGCACTTGGCGGCCTTCGAGTGAGAACCTAGAGAGTGGCGACGGCAGCAACTTGCGACAGCAGAGTGACTTACGGCTGCCCCGCCCCCGGGAAGCTCTGTGGGCGGGCCGAGGAAATACGAAAGGTAGCGCGGGCTCTCGCGGGCCCTGTGCAGGCTGACCCGCAGTATGACCCAGTCGGTGGTCGTACAGGGTAAGCTGAACCGGGAGGGTGAGGACCCAGCCGGCGCTGGGCCCAGGGTCCTTGTTAGCCGCCTAATGTCTGCTCCTTTTCTTCCTCTCCCGGATCGCAGTCGGCCAGTGCGGAAACCAGATCGGCTGCTGTTTCTGGGACTTGGCGCTGAGGGAGCACGCTGCGGTCAACCAGGTACCCGCCCTGCCTCCGGACAGCCCTCCTTGCCTGTCACCGCGAAATTTCCTCTATTGAGCTTTTACCTGATGGATATTCGTTGTATCGGACCTTATCAGCAAAGAGCAAACGTTTTTAAATGTATATTGACAATAGACACATAATAAACTGAACTGGCAGAGACGTTTCCCTAATTCTCAGGGTCTCATCTTTATCAGCATTCTTGTGAAGACAAATGAGATAGTATATGTGAAAACACCTTGTAAATAGTTAACGTGTGGTATTCCTTGATTGTAAAAAAGGCAACTTGTGGTATTCCTTGATTTAACCAATCAGCATTGAAAATGATCACCAAGAATTCAGAGGAAGCTCTCATTTGATTCTGCAGTCCTATGAGGACGTCAACACCCTTCCTTGAATTTAAGTCATAGGTCTCAGGGCATTACTCTTCTGTAGATCGGAAGAATCAGTCAAAGCATTTTATGATAATTTGCTTTTACTTATCTAACCACACATCAGCCTTTACAGAATTATGGTGTTATTAAATTGAAAGGACTTCATTTGGGAAAGAGGCAAAACTTAATCAAACGTTGTAAATATTTTCTTTCTTTTTAGAAGGGAATTTATGATGAGGCAATAAGCAGCTTCTTTAGAAATGTGGATACCAGGTAAGTTGGTGTTAAAGTCTATCACATACTGCAGTGATTTTCAGCTAGTATTCCGTGGCATATTGGTGTGCTGCAAGAATTTTTAAAACATGCAATAACTGACTACTTGGTCAGGGGCACTGACCTCTTTTTCCCTTAAATTATCAAATGAAAAAAATGACAACAGCCAACACAACATAGCCATCTGGTGTGAATGAATCAAAATCATACCTATTATTTTTTGCCTGATCAGCAAAAAATACATTTTTGGTGTGCCACAGAATTTTAGTAATTAGTTTAAGTGCCATGAGATGAAAAAATGTCAAAATCGCTGACATAGCATAATGATACTTTTCATGTCAACAGATTGGACCAGAATTCTTCAAAGGATAAAAAAACAGTTGGTAACTGTAAAGTTGTCTGGCTTTTTTGTTTGCTTTTTTCATTAAAATCATATTTCTCAGCCCTGGCTGGCGTAGCTCAGTGAATTGAGCGTGGGCTGGGAACCAAAGTGTCCCAGGTTCGATTCCCAGCCAGGGTACATTCCTGGGTTGCAGGCCATAACCCCCAGCAACCGCACATTGATGTTTCTCTCTCTCTCTCTCCCCCTCCCTTCCCTCTCTAAAAATAAATAAATAAATAAAATCTTTTTAAAAAATCATATTTCTCATTCTCATTAATATTCTCATATCATTCTTCAGAGCAGGACAACAGGTTTTCTTTTGACTATATTAAGTAGCAAAAAGAAGCTTTAGTGTTCCTTCTTTTAACTTGACCTGTAAATAAAGTTTCACTTAAAAGGAGTGCTGAAAAGTGCTCCTAGGGTATCTTCTTAATGCATCCTGTAATGGCTAACTTTTGAAAGAAAAATATATGGTTTACATTTATGTTATTCATGGTTAGGAATATTGGCTCTATGAGTAGAATGTGTTGAAAGGGAGAATGCTGTCAGATTACTTTTGTTTATTTAATACAGGGTACATGTAGTTATATATCTCTATCTGAAAGTAATTTGACATTCAAGGTTTGTTCATAAGCTCTTTTTTTTTTTTTTAATCCTTACCCAAGGATATGTTTATTGATTTTGGAGAGAGAGGAAGGGAGAGAGAAAGAGAATAACATCAATGTGAGAGAAACATTGATGTGAGAGAGAAACATTGATCTGTTGCCTCCTGTATATACCCTGACCAGGGTATGAACTCACAACCTAGGTATGTGCCCTGACCCGGGATCAAACCTGCAACCTTTTGGTGTACAGGAGGATGTTCCAACTGACTGAATCTGGCCAGGGCTCTTGATAAGCTTTCAATCTTAAATTATTAAGTTCATGCATCTTCAAAACACTTAAAGCTAAATTGGTGGGCTTGAACTGAAAAATGCATACTTAATATCTAATTTGAATTAGTTGGTTGGGTATTTGCGGAAGTTATCTCCAAGTTAGTCCTCCACTTGGTGAATTCTAGAGTCTGATCCTTAGGCTTGCAAACCTTGTTGACAACTTGAGAATGGGTCCAGTGCTGTCTAGTACAGGCAGATACACCAAACTAGAGGCAGAAAGTCAATGTCTTCAAGTCTGTCACAGTCTGTGTCACATCTCACCTTGGCCATTATAGTGTGAATGCAGGTAGTATATAAACAAATGGGTATAGGTGTTGATACATGTTTAGTTATAACAGGAAACCTTGTTAATGGTGGTTTAAGTGATATGGATATCCAGTTACTTCAGATACAAATAAATCAGGAAATTGAATGTTCTAGGTTTGGAGAAGTGCCTTAAAGACCAAGATTCTGTCTATCGTTTCATTATTCTTAGTGTGTTGACTTTTTGCCTCCATGTTTATTACCTTACAACTGAAATGGCAGCCTCCAATCTAGGAATCACATTCATGTTCATGTTCAAGGTAGGAAAATGGAAGAATTAGCACCAACTGCATCTCCTTTTTACTAGAAAAGCTTCCCAAAATACCTTTCTCTTCTCATTTGACAGAACTGAATTACATGGGCAGCACTAACTACAAAGGAAGCCAGGGAAATAAGTCCCTCACTTTTTTAGCCTAATGGGAGGTAGGCAAGGGAGATGATTTGGAATGGTGACTCCTGTTTTATCTTTTGTGTCTGTCTCACCTGGCCTATAAGTGGCTTTATTATATAAATGGAAGTCAACTTCAATACCTGATAGCTCTAATAGCCATGGAAGATCTTACAATTTTTTCCTTATTTTTTATCTTTCAGAGTGGTTGGTGATGGTGGCAGTATTTCCAAGGGGAAAATTTGTTCTTTAAAAGCACGAGTAAGATATATACACTTGGCATCTTTCATTGCATGTGTTTTTAAAATAACCATATTTCTGTAATAATCATGACAGTAAAATTTAAATTTTCGAATGAAAAAAAGTACTTACTAAGCCACATTTAATATAATTAAGCGGACATTTGTGTCTGCCTGAAACTTTAGGGGGAATATTTTGTGCTTAAAGTAAAAACACTGCATATTTACCATTTTTTCCTAAATCTTTCAGAAGAAATATGTCTAGATAAATGATGAAACATTTCTTAACTCTTGCATTATTATGTATTAAGTACAGACCTCCTGAACAAAAGTATTTTCAGTCAGTAGCCCATTCATTCCAACAACACTTCTTTTCAGTGATTGTCTGTCTACAACAAACTTTTTTTCCAGTTATTGATTAGTAACCTTTGACTTTAACACAAGTTTAGATGCCAAGGAAGTGACTGAGGTGATAAGGATCAGATCTGGAGTACTGGCTAAAAGAATGGAAAGCAGTAGTGTTGTACCTGGGAACCATTTTGTATCTTTGTTGTCCTTGAAAAACAAATTTAGGACAGAGACCATCTGCTTGTAGGCTATCAGCATAATTAATCAACACTTGGTATATTCCATGCCATAGACAGTGCTAACATCCCAGTCCAGATCTTACACAGAAAAAGAAATGTTGACATTTCCTAGACTGCTCCCAATTTGAGCTCTTTCCTACTGCCATGTCAGCAGGCAAGGCGGAGGAAACTATTGGAAAAGAATACATCAGTGTGTTTCTGTAGGCTTTGATTTGTCCTAGAAGGTGCTCTTCCACTTCTCCTTGGGAGCCATTGGCATTACAGGGCTGTGATCACTGAGGAGCCTAGGCTTCAGAAGATAACTTGGTGGTTGGGCCCCTCCACTGTCTCAAGGATCTGAAGTTGAGGCAAATACTCAGAACTGGGTAAATTTTATGTTACAATTAAGGGAATGCTCAATGCCAGGAGGCTATCCCCAGGTGGCTCCGGAAGAAAATAAGAAACATCAAATTCTGGAACTGTGGTGACACCAGACTTGGAATTGCTAAGCAAGGAACCCAGAGTCATTTCTCCTAATTTTAATTAATTTCCAAGAAAAAATCAGAAGAGTTATGTACTCCGTCAGGATTTTAATGCTAAGTGACTTTAAGGATTTTTAAATCCTTAAAGGATTTAAGGATAAAGGATTTAAAAATCCTTAAAGGATTAAGGATTTTAATGTGAAGTGATGATGCTTCCAAAACTGACATTGAAGTGCTTGAATGTCAGCCTGTTTTCTGTTTGCTGCTGCTTTTGCCAGGTTGCAGTAATGGAGGGTATGGCCCAAACATGTTTAATCTCAGTCACCATTTCAGAGACAGTAACTAAATGGTTTCTTCAGGCCCCCCAAAAATGTTTAATCTTCCACAAATGATTTCAATAAATCTATTTGGAATAAGGCCACTATATGGTAAAAATTGCATATTCTTAAAAATCTCTAAAATTAGCAGTAAATACCCCTATATTGCCTTGTCTATGTAGGGCATATGTATATTTATTATTGTATGTAAAGGAGCACATTTATAAATAATTTTAGAGTTTTTCTAATATACTGCTATAATATACTAATACTGTGTCAAATAGTATTATACAATTAAAATACAATGTTTCTAATATACTGTGTAATACTATTTTAATTGCCAGCTTACAATAAAATAATTAACTACATAAATAGTTAAATTCACAAATTGTAACTCCACTGAAGTCAGTATTCTAGAAATATCAAACTTGACTCTCTTTCTTCAATAAGATGGTACAGCATATAGTTCAGTGGTTAGGAGTCAGTATTCTGCACCCTGGCTAGCCAGGTTTGAATCTCTGCTCTACCGCTTACTAGCTGGGTGATCATTGCCAAGTTATTTAACTTTTCTAGGCCTCAGTTTCCTCAATGTGTAAAGCAGGGATAGTTATAGTACCTATACATAGGGTTGTGAGGTTAGATGGGGTGGTACATGTAAGTACTTAGAATAGTGGTATATGTAGTAAGTGCTGAACATTAATGATCACAAGGGCTAAAAATGCCCATAAACCAGGCACTTTTCTCTATGACAGTGAATTAGTGTTAATAGCTTTATAGTATACCCTAAGATTATTTCAGAATGTTTTCTTCAGCTTTGCTGTATCTACTTAACTACTGCTTCCCCTCACTATAGAAAATATGGGAAGTAAAGCACAAGACAGTGCAGGTACAGGGTATACAGTGTCCTTGCCAATCTATCTCTGCTTATATTTTGCTGTATTTCCTTCCAGTCTTCTTTATTCTTTCCATAATTAATTCTATGTTTTATATTCTATTTTTCCTCTTAGTAATGGAGATTCTCTCCTATGTCAGTAAAGTTTGTGGTAATGAATTAGATTATGAGTTACTTGGGGGAGGACTCTGTAGTCATCTTTGGCATCTACCTAGCACTTTGGCTTTGCACACTTACTGGCTTTAATTGGACAATTTTTGTGATTCGGGCAGCATGGTCACGCCTAGTGAGCAAATGCATTAATGCACCCTCCATTGAGAATTTTCTCTGGTTAAGATTACTTTATACATTTCTGAGACCATGTTCTCAAGAAATTTAGTCACATAGACACATGAATGAAAGAATAGTTAGAAAATCAGTTGAGGGGATTATTTAGTTCCTCCCCCGCCCCCCGTCCCCCCTTGATAATTTTGAGTATGGTAAGACTTTTGAATCTATCTTTTACTGGGTTTCACCTTTCAAGCAGAGTGAAATTATTTCTTAATTTTTATATCAGAGCCTACATAAAGATTTAAATAAAGATGTGATTAAGCTTAAATTATAAAAAGAACAATGCAGCTTTTAGCTCCTAAGTTATTTTCATTTACAGAGTGACTAACTCTAAAGAAAAATATGCTGATTCAATTTTATTTCTGTTCCTCAGGCCGTCTTGATTGACATGGAGGAAGGGGTAGTAAATGAAATTCTGCAGGGACCTTTGAGAGATGTATTTGATAGCAAGCAGCTCATCACGGATATTTCTGGCTCAGGGAATAATTGGTGAGAATATGCTAAACATTAAAATGAGCAGTATTTCCTTCACTCTAATAGGTTCCACTGACATGAAATCAGAATGCAACTTGCCATACCTAATTCTAGGCCTTTCAGCCATCATCTTTTCCTTGATAAATGGTAGTGTTTCAGAATTTTTAGAAGTCCCCTATATTCTACTTCTTTCTCATTGTTTTAAGAAAAAAGTGAATCATGAAAAATTGATTTGCTAAATTCCCTTGTTGTCAATTGAATCTTGCATAATGCTAAATAGTGAAAAGTTATAAGTAGTTTTATAAACAGTTCACTTACCTATATTATTTGACTCTCAAGTTCAACCGCTGGTCAGATTTAATAGAATTGTCACAGAGATGCCAGCCAGACCAGTGTCCCAGCATTCAAGCTCAGCCCAAGGCTCTGTTTGGCCCCTAATTACAATTGCTGTGCCTCCGTAACAGTAAAAAGCTCCAACGGTGATCATTTAAATTTTTACATTTAGACTTGTTTAAAACTTCAGTAGCTCCTTGCTGTTTGTAAATCTAATATTTATTATTTTATTAATAACTAATTGCACTCCATCCCTTGAGTTCATAATGTGTAGCGATGTATAATTTTACTAAAGCATGAATTTGAATCTTGTGTTCTGGGAGAGTCTCTTGGGGAAAACCAGTCACTAAATAAGTGAGTCCACCTGACCACCCAGTTGGCTTTTCTCTGATCCTGAATAACTTATTCTGTAACTTTTGAGTTACACCTGACTGCATATTGTGAGAAAATCATGCTTATTTTTTAGTTCATCGTAGTGCTACTTGCAAATTTAGGCAGGTAAAAGGCTTGCGGATCCTGATGAATATTAGTTTTCTACTGTGTGCCCTTTCATCTAGTAATAACATGATGTGACCAGTGCTTTTCTCCTTTTAAACAAAAGCTTTAAAATTTTTTGTCTTTCTGCTGACCATGTTGTGACCACATTCTGCTTTTTATATATAAAAGTCACTGCAATTATAGTTCTTTAAATGGAAATGAGAAAAACTGTATAACTAAAATCTTTTGTTGTAATTATAGCTTAAGAAAAAATAAGAAAAATTTAGAAAACCATAGTTTACTATCCATCAATAATGATCTATATCTTATCAGGATATCTAAGGATTATACACATATATTTGCAAAATTTTCTACCTAGTATCTTTGAGATATGATTTATTGATATGAATCAGGACTCAGAAATAAAATCTTGAAATACAAGGAATTTCTTTAAGCCTATATTCTTTTTTTCAGGGCTGTGGGGCACAAAGTGTTTGGCCATCTTTATCAAGAGCAGATTTTAGAGAAACTCAGAAAGTCGGCAGAGCACTGTGATTGTTTGCAGTGTTTTTTTGTAATACATTCCATGGGAGGAGGTAAAGCTGTTCATTTATTTGCCTGTAACAATATGAAAGTGAAAGTGGGAGCTCATTTGTAAACATAAGTCTTGTTTTCCATCCCATGCCTGATAGAGAACTGTTAAGGGCATGTGTGTTTATGAATGTGTGTACATTTTTATCTTAATTTATTAAAGTGTGTCACTAGTACCATTTAAAAAAATACACCCTTTTAAGAGTTAATACAAAAAAGTCAGTAGAATGGAATCTGAAATTTTTCTTCTACGTTTAGTTTATTTTGTAAATTTCCAGCTACATTTCAGTATATATGAGCTTTTGGGAAATGCTGACTTTCTCCTAAGAGTTTGCTTGTGCATTCTTTATCCTAACTAGAGCTAAGTATTTCTGGCATATTCACAGGTAGAATTGTAAAAGACTATCCTTTCTATAACTACCTACAAAACTTTGTTGTGTTCAGTAAGTAAAAGAAATCATTTTAGTGAACCTTCAGTCATTCCTCACGTGGTAATGAATCGCCTTGGCCTATAACAAATGATCTGCATGGCCCCCTTTCCTGGGGATCCTGTACTGTGCAAGTGAATCTTTTGCTCCCTGTTCCATGAAATAGAAACAGATCATAATATGCTAATTTCATAATAGGATTAGGTGATTTTAAAAGAAAAATTTGCCATGCTTTTCCTTCAAGCTGAGATTAAGATTTTATATTCAGCAGGTTATATACAGTTGACTTTTTATAGATATCCATTATTCATTGTGATCCATTTTACAATTAAAGTCACAATTGCTATGTAACCATGCTTATGGAAGACCATCATAATCATTAAATTAAGAACCAAATGTTTTTGTACTAGTATAATTAACATGTAAGTTTGAGTTTTTCCAAAAAGCAATTTGAATTATAGTTCATTTTGGTGCCTTTTTAATCCCTCTATTACTCAAAATCTCAGAATATTATAACTCATAATTCACTGAAAATAACAAAAATATTTGAAATAATACTGAAGGTAAAAAATGGAGGTCTCCTTTCCCACATTCACTCCCTGGTGTCTCTCCTCACAGGTTACTAAGCTGACAATGTCATTCTTCCAGATTTTTTCTATGACTTTTAGAAGTATGCACGTGCTGTGTTTTTACAAACAAGATTATGCAATATGTATTATTCTGTAATTTTTTCACTTTATGTTTTTCCCAAATGTCTTTCATTATCAGCTGTCTCATAGAATTCAATTGCATAAATAGGTAACAATTGTGAAAGTGAGTCTTCATTGATGGATGTTCATTTGGGGTGTTTAGTTATCACAATCCCCAGTGAACATCTGGTACATACGTCTCTGTTCATTTGTGCCACTATAGCTGTAGGCAATATTCCTAGAAAGGAAAGGGAGATCAAAGAATATGTACATTTTAACTTTTGACTGATTACTAAATATCTTACATTATTGCACCAATCCATATTATTAGCAACAATTTATAAAAGTTTACTTCCCCACACTTATCACCATCACAAAGTATTATGAGACATAAATCTAATATGTTCAAAATTATATTGTTTTAAATTGCATTCCTTTAATTAGAAGACAAGTTGAGCATCTTCACATCTATTTTCCACTTGGTTTATCTTGAGTTAGATATTTATATACTTAGCCCATTTGTTAGTGCATTCCTATTTTTTTGGTTGTTGATTTGTGAGACCTCTTTATTAAAGAAATTTAGTCCTCCATCATATGTGTTGAAGACTTTTTCTTAGTTTGCCTTTTTATTAGTTTATGGTTTCTTTATATATGTATAGAAATTTTGCTTATTTTTCATGGAATCAAAATTGTCTTTTCTATAATGGCTTTGGTTTTGTATAATGCTTAGAAATTCCTTCTCATTAAAGATTAACCAAAAAAATCCCCCTCACTTTCATCTAGAATTTTTAACACCATAGAATCTTACTACTTATCTATATGTGTTAGAGCATTGGCTTTTAACTTCTTTTTAATCAGAACAGCATGAAATATATTTTACATCACAACCAAACACACACACAAACATATACAAACAGAGGACTCAAAAAACATTACCACCTATACCACATGCAACACATTGGTATTTCTACTATTTAAAAAAACAAAATAGTGGTCCTAACCTAATAAATTAGTTTCATAGACCACTATTAGTTCACAACCCAGTTTAAAAAACATCAGCTTAGAATACTCTAGTTTTACCTCTTCAAAGTTCTTAAAAATTTCTGAATTTATTTAAATGTAACTATGTGTCAGAAAGTTATCTGAAAGGGATTCCTAGAATTTCTGCTTTTAAATAAATAGTAAAAAAAAAGTTTCCTACTTGAAAATATTGTAAATTCAAGGTAGTAATGATCAATTTCAAACAATTTTAACTTAGTGTTTAAGTTGTTTAAGTCATGATAGTATTCTTCATGATTAAGTATGTTGAGGTCTGTCCAGAAAGTATCCATCTGAGTAATATGAAAAATAGAGGCATTTATTGAAGAGGATAAAAGATACAAGAAACATTGTATATAGGACAATGATACCTCAGTCCCCTTCAAAGTAGGCACTTTGGGACCTCACACAGTTCTCCCAGTCATCATCAGCTGCCCTATCATATTTTCCTGAATCTCATTGACAGTCTGAAATCTTTTCCCTTTCAAAGGTGATTTTAGTTTTGGGAAAAGCCAGATGTAGCAGGGCACCCAATCTGCACTGTAGGGGGACTGAGTCACCTGGGTGATTTGATGTTTCTCCAAAAACTCTGCACAAGACATGATACATGAGCAGGCACATTGTCATAATGAAGCTGCCAATCACCAGTTGCCCATAGCTGCAACATTCTGAGTCATCCAAATGGTCTCCATGGAGGAATGTTCAAGCTTAAAGCAAAATTTGATGCACATTTGTTGCTCTACTTGCTTACTCATTCTGAATGTGATAGCCACACAGTACACATGCTCACTCAATAGCATCTCCCACCCCCACTGACTATTACAGTGAGGTCATCATTGTTCATGCATGCGCATTCCAGTCCACTCGTCTTGGCTGTCGGGTTATATTGATGTTGCACAAACGGTTCTTGTTACATTAACAATGGCTGAACTTTTTCTGGACAGACCAAAATGTTAGGATAGTTTTCATTTTTTATAGTTGTCTAATATCAAGTGTAGACTGAATGCTGTCTTGTTTGAATTTTTTATCCTTCATTCAGTTCTTTTGGCATAATAGAGATACAACTTAACTGTGAAAACAAGTGAAATACAGAAAGCCCTCCCAACCTCACAGTAAGAATCAACAGATTGAATTTAGAACTTCAATCCTCACTACCCATGTTGTCTTCATTTCCTTATTTGAAATTAGATTAGATAATGTATAATCACAGGTGTAAGTTGAAAATTAAAAGTTCTTAATATATATTTCTACAAAAAAGTAAAATTCCGAGTTCCTCACAGTTATATTCTGAACCATTTATGCTGGTTTTTTTTTGAAATTCAACCCTCAGGAACAGGATCTGGACTTGGCACATTTCTTTTAAAGGTGCTTGAGGATGAATTCCCAGAAGTATACAGATTTGTGACTTCAATTTATCCTTCTGGTGAGGATGATGTCATAACTTCACCTTACAATAGCATCTTGGCAATGAAGGAACTCAATGAGCATGCAGACTGTGTGTTGCCCGTTGACAACCAAGTAAGAAATGACATTGTAATTTATGGACATATGCATATACAGTCATTCCTGTGTTACGCTTATGTGTTTATAAGTTTAAATTGTTTTTCTTTCTCTTTCCTTCTTGGTAAAATGTCATCTATATCCACTCTTCTTAATAGCTTCTCTCCAATATTTTTCTTTTAAAAGTCTTTATTTGACATCATTAGCAAAATTGACCTCATGGTGAATTCCGGAAAGTTGGGTACAACTGTAAAGCCAAAGAGTCTGGTTACCTCAAGTGCTGGGGCTTTTAAAAAGCGGCAGGAAAAGCCCTTCGATGCCATGAACAACATCGTGGCAAATTTGCTGCTCAACCTAACGAGGTAATCCTAATGATGGTGTTCACTGTGCGTTTGAGGATGTTGGCAATAGCATTTTGTTTTTAGTTATTCTAAATTGTCAGAGCTTCTTTCATTTTTATTTTGTCTACTGGTTTCAAATCTTACTGTGATAGACCAGTATTTTAATTTCTATGACTCCAAAGGAGCATTTGCCCAGATATAGTCCGTGGTGTGTTACTAGGTGTTAATATAATAAAAGGTTTTATCATAGATACACTGGAGAAACACTTGGTTAGACAAAAGTAAACATTATTTTTGCTGTGGAACATCTTAATCTATAAAACCAGTTAATCTGTACCTTGTCATTCACTGATCCACAATATTTCCTTGTCTTTGATCTAAAAGATTATCTTGGCATTATTCCAAAATATAGAGCTTATTAAGCAGATGCCTGAGGAATTTAGTGAAGATTACAGAATAAATAAATAATTATTGACGCGTATGTGTTTAACTAGGTCTATAGTCTGTTTTTAGTAAGATATTTTTATATATGTAATGAGCAACTGTAATGCTGTGTTGGTTATGCTTCAGATAAGCCAGAAGTAAGAGTTACTATAGAAGTTGTATTATACTTTAAATATATTTATACATCATGTTCATAATACTAAATTTCACTAATACAGGGGGAAAAATATATGTTCTCTACTGAAGAACAGGGTATGAAAGTATTTAATATTTAAGAACATGCCTGCTGAATAAATCAAGCTACATTTAAAGTGTTTAACTATACAATTAATTTTTTCTCATGCTTTACTGTTAATTTTTTAGTTCTGCAAGGTTTGAAGGATCCCTTAATATGGACCTTAATGAAATCAGCATGAATTTAGTTCCTTTTCCTCAGCTGCATTATCTTGTGTCAAGCCTAACACCTCTGTATACACTGGCAGATGTTAACATTCCTCCTCGAAGGTGAGCTGTAGTAACTTTATTCCAGTTACTTGAGAACTTGAATTACCTTTTTAAAAAATGTAAGAGAAAAGTTTATAATAACTCTACTTCTTCATATCATTTTTTTATGAGAAATATATAAAATACAGTTGATGACAGCCATTTTTCCATTGTATGAATGTGTCTTTATTTAGGAGTCATTGTTTAAAAAAATCTGTATTAAACTGTTTGAAATTAAATCTAATAATTAAATATCTAAGCTTATGAAAATTAATATATAAGATTTAAGGGCCTTGAAGTTTGACATACTTAAGTCTGAATACAGTTCTCTCACTAGTAGCAAGTTTGCCACTATTTTTGTTTTTCTTTTCTTAATATAGTTTATTGATTATGCTATTACAGTTGTCCCATTTCCCCCCTGCACTCCGCTCTACCCTGCACACCCCCTCCCACCCACATTCCCCCCTTTAGTTCCTGTCCATGTGTCATAAGTTCTTTAGCTTCCACATTTCCCATACTATTCTTACCCTCCCCCTGTTTATTTTCTACCTACCATCTATGCTACTTATTCTCTGTACCTTTTCCCCTTCTCTCTTCCTCCCACTCCCCTGTTGCTAACCCTCCATGTGATCTCCATTTCTGTGGTTCTGTTCCTGTTCTAGTTGTTTGCTTAGTTTGTTTTTATTTTTGTTTTAGGTGTGGTTGTTAATGATTGTGAGTTTGCTGTCATTTTACTGTACATGTTTTTTATCTTCTTTTTCTTAGATAAGTTCCTTTAACATTTCATATAATAAGGGCTTGGTGATGATGAACTCCTTTAACTTGACCTTATCTGAGAAGCACTTTATCTGCCCTTCCATTCTAAATGAAAGCTTTGCTGGATAGAGCAGTCTTGGATGGAGGTCCTTGTCTTTCATGACTTGGAATACTTCTTTCCAGCTCCTTCTTGCCTATAAGGTCTCTTTTGAGAAATCAGGTGACAGTCTTAGGGGAACTCCTTTGTAGGTTACTGTCCCCTTATCTCTTGCTGCTTCTAGGATTCTCTCCTTCGTTTTAATCTTGGGTAATGTAATTATGATGTGCCTTGGTGTGTTCCTCCTTGGGTCCAACTTCTCTGGGACTCTCTGAGCTTCCTGGACTTCCTGGAAGTCTGTTTCCTTTACCAGATTGGGGAAGTTCTCCTTCATTATTTGTTCAAGTAACTTTTCTACTTATGGCTCTTCCTCTTCTCCTTCTGGCACCCCTATGCCAGATGCCCTATTTTTCAGATGTTGGAATGTTTAAAGATGTCCTGGAGGTTCCTAAGCCTCTCTTCATTTTTCTGAATTCTTATTTCTTCATTCTGTTCTGATTGAATGTTTCTTTCTTCCTTCTGGTCCATACCGTTGATTTGAGTCCCAGTTGCCTTCGCATCATTGTTGGTTCCCTATGCATTTCCCTGTGCATTTGCCTTTATTTCACTTAGCATAGCCTTCATTTTTTTCATCTAATTTGCAACCAAATTCAGCCAAATCAGTGAGCATCCTGATCACCAGTGCTTTGAACTGTGCATCTGATATGTTGGCTATCTCTTCATCGCTTAGTTGTATTTTTTCTGGAGCTTTGATCTGTTCTTTTGTTTGAGCCGTTTTTTTGGTCTCAACACGTCTGTTACATAGTTAGGGGCAGAACCTTAGGTATTCACCAGGGTGGGGCAACCCACTTTGCTGCGTTGTGATGCTGTGTGGGAGGGAGGAGTCTGAGAGGGAACAGTGGCGCTTGCTCCACTCTCTGCTGGATTTCAGTCACTTCCCCTGCTTCCCCCAAGCAATCTGGGCCCTTCTGGTGCTGGTTCCCAGGTGGGTGGGTTTGTGTATGTTCTAGGACCCTGTGGGTTTCTCCAGCAAACTCTCCTGTGAGGTTGGAGTCTCTCCCGGAACCTCAATCCCCACAGGTGTTTTCAGTTGATGTTTTGAGGCTTTATTTTCCCATGCTGGAACCCTGGGTTGCTCAGTCTGTCTGGCTCCCCAGTTTCGCCTGGTTTATCTGCAAATGTGGGACTGCCCAGTCCACCAGACCCCTAGTGCACCTCACCCTTCCACAATCTGCCGCCTGGCTGGTTCTGCCCAGCTTCCCAACTCCACCCTTCCTACCTGTTTAGATGAATGTTTCTTTAACTCCTTGATTGTCGGACTTCCACGCAGTTCAATTTTCTGTCAGTACTGGTTTTTTGTTTCTAAATTTTTGTTGTCCTTATTTTGGTTGTGCGAGGAGGCACAGTGTGTTTACCTACACCTCCATGTTGGCTGGAAGTCTATTTTCAGTTTTGCTCATCTGTGAAAATGAGAGTCGAAGCACCCACCTCATACACCTATTAGGTGTATTAAATAATGTTAATTCTATACCTAGTTCATTTTTAGCAAGTGAAAACAATAAGTATGCGAGTGTATTTTTTTAAATTTCATATTTCTAATGTAAGTAAAGGTAAGTATCCCAATAATTATAAATGCCTGCTTAATAGTTTTTTCTATTTTGTGACAAAAGATGGATCAAGAATTAAGTTTGACCACTTGTTGTTTAGCAGTTAACCTTTTCTGGATTTCCTTGACTCCACAAAAATGCCAGAAAGCACATACACACCAAATTTTGAAACCAATAGCAAAGGATGCATGAATGCCCAAAGCTCACAATCCCCTAAGGGAGTTCTCTAATCCGTCTTGCTATAGGATAATCAGGATAGAATGTAGTCTTCATTGGAGGAGATTTTCTGTTGGTGTTCACTGCTGGGTCTCAGTAATTAGAATCGAGCTTGGTACATAGTAGACATTCAGTAAATATCTGTTGAATGGATAGGTAGCGTAGTGTGATTTCTGTAGCTCTTCTCAGACGTGATGCAAATTCAGCACAGAGCTCTGGCTAGAGATATCTAAGGATCCTAATCATGCTTGTATTGAGTTAAATGGGGCATGTTAAGGACCTGCAAGGCTGTGTACTGTTAGATGTGAACTTTATTGGTCACCCCTGTCTTCCGCTCTTTAACTCAAGGATTAAAGAATGAAGTTAAAAGACTCCATTCACTTAAAAGTCTTCCTTTTTAGGAACACTACTATAGAGTTCCATCTTTGATAAGAGAGCCTAACATTGTCCTTTGATGGTTTCCTCTTGATTATTCCTAATTTATGATGTATTTTACAGTGATAAATTAGTCTCTTAATATTGTCAGCTTTTAATTAGTTTTGATAGTTGTGATACAAGAAGTAGATAAGCATACTGAAATAAGTAATAACGACACAAGTTCCCGAAATCAGCACTTCACAGAGCTCACTAATGATACAGTTAACATTGTGTTGCTGAAATCACCAATATATTACAGAAGATTTTTATTCCGAAAAAAAAAGATGTTATATGACCTCCTCTGTGTTCATATTCCATTAAAGATTGCTGAGAAGATTACAGCACAAATTATTATCTTTCCATTTTATAGTTATACAGAGAAGATGTAATATTTTGTATAAACAGCACCTCTGATTGTTCTAGGTTGGATCAAATGTTTTCAGATGCCTTTAGTAAAGATCATCAGCTAATTCAGGCCGACCCCAAACATAGTCTGTACCTCGCCTGTGCCCTCATGGTTAGAGGAAATGTCCAGATTTCAGATCTTCGCAGAAATATTGAAAGGTTTGATTTTATATATATATATATTTTTTTTTTTTTAAGATTTTATTTATTTATTTGGGGGGGGGAGGGAGGGAGAAAGAGAGGGAGAAAAGCATGGATGTCACATGCTCCCTAAACAGGGACTAGGCCTACAAGCCAGGCATGTGTCCTGACCAGGAACAGAACCCATGACCTTGCACTTTGTGGGATGATGCCCAAGCAACTGAGCCATGCCAGCCAGGGTGGTTTTATACTTTTCTCAAGATAATTAGTTATGTGTATTGCTTATGACAGTGGTAGTATAGTGGTTAGGGTGGTCTGTTGCTGAATTCTAGCATTACCACTTAGGTAGAGTGTGAGTTTGAGCAAGCTACATAGCCTCTGTTAGCATTATTTTCCTCAAATGTAAAATAAGAATAATAATAGTACAGAGCTGTTATTTACAAGTACTAAATCATGTATGAGATGTTTTATTTCCTGAAAGTGTTAGAATACTTAACTATTATGTTTATTACCACCACTACTACCACTCCACTTCTAAGTTTCTGTTTTACTATTTATTGGCAGTCTATTTTTAGGAAAACTACTCTGTGGAATTACAAAGTGAAGAAAATGATAATACCTTCATTTCTTTCCATCCCCAGATTTTCATGTTAAGGAATATGTTTCTAGCTTTCTGAATCACCATCACAACTAATCCAATGTCCTTTTACTAAATATCCCTAATTAACTGTCCAGTTAGTAGACTGTACCACTACACTGCTCATAGTAAAAAACAGATAACTTACATTATAAACTAATGGTATCAGTAGTAGTGTCCTAGTTTAACTCATGTGGGCTGCTGTAATATGGCAGGCGTTTTTAGTACCTTAATTCTTACCATAAGTTTTTGTATCTCAGATTAAAACCTTCTCTACAGTTTGTCTCCTGGAATCAAGAAGGCTGGAAGACCAGCCTGTGTTCAGTGCCTCCCGTGGGCCACTACCATTCATTACTAGCGTTAGCAAATAACACATGTGTGAAGCCCACCTTCATGGACCTGAGAGAGAGATTCACGAGGCTCTACAAGAAAAAGGTAATTACTTATAACAGTATGTGTTTTTTTTAACTATTTATGCTATATTCCACTATATGTTTGTCTATTTAAGATGTGTTCCCAAGAATTATGTTATTACAGTGCGAGTTCTCCTATATGCTATGTTCATTGCGCTGACTGTAACTGAAGAGGGTAGGCTTACTAAGACTGTCTAAATGAGAAGTCTCATGAGTTCATAGGATTTGAGTTCTCATTTCTTTTACAAATCTGAGTGAACTATCATTTTAATAAAGAATGTTTACATTATAGGGTAGTTGTACATACTAAATTTCCTGAAAATAGTCAACATAATTCAGTTTTTTTTTAAATTTGTAGGCTCATCTTCATCACTATCTGCAAATCGAAGGGATGGAGGAAAGCTGTTTCTCAGAAGCCCTGTCATCTTTATCAGCACTCATACAGGAGTACAGCCAGCTGGACGCCACGAAAAGCATGCCCGTGGAAGATCTGCCTAGACTAAGCGTAGCCGTGTAAAACAGAAACCCAAAAGACGCTTTCACTTTTTCTTAATTTCACATGTTTTTTTTTGTCATCTTACCTTTCTGTTTCAGAATCTTTGTAATTCAGAAAGCCTGGTTTGTGTTTTTCATATTAGGAAGTATTTTCCTGTGAGAGAGTTGTTTCATTTCATGACCAGTTGTTGGTAATACCACTGTGTGAAATTAGTAAAGTCCTAGTACCTTAACTTCAAATATTGTCTTCAGAAAATTCCCTTTTTCTAAAACTGAGAGAATAGAGTCCTTCAGCATTTTACTTTATTTATAATCTCATATTTAGGCATTTATACAGTAAAAATCATGGCTTCAATAAAAATTTGTACAGATATATTTTTACATTTATTTATAATTTATGTTTTCATATTCTGTTTAAATTCTTATCATTCTTTCAAAGTAAGTACAGGGAGTTGAAAACCACAATATAAATATTTCTGTGAAATATCCACTGGCTTCAGGGATAGTTTTTATTACAACTACTGAGGTTTTGTTTCTTTGGATAATCTTGTTTGCACTGCACTCCACAATTTACACTTGTAATATATATTTGTTTTAAATTATTTTTAAGTAATGCTTTGTAATTAAGCTAGCTGATTTTGTAATAATAAATGTCCCTATTTTTGAACAGCACTACTTGTTATTGTTTTTCTTGTCACTGTACAAATGCACATTATAAAGCTTAACATCTTCCTCCAAACTTTACAGTAAATGGCTGTCATCCCCTAGTGAAAGTCTTCCAGTTACTATAATCTCCAGTTTTATCTTTAACATTTATTTATTTTTAATCATAATTTATATTTTAAATCTGTATGTGGATTTATCATTTGGAAGTAATTTTTAGGAACAAATTATTTTCAAGCTGAAATAATTCATTGTGTGCTTTCTTCAGTGTTGATTTTTTAAGGTCCTTTTATTTTCAAAGTAAGGGTACTCCTCTTGGTCTTTGTCTTGGAAATTTTGTTTTTTATAGTATTTGGTATAAAAACATTAAATTACAGTTGTCAACAGGAGCCAATGAAATTTCATTTTCTCCTTCCCAAAGAAATTGTAATGAACTGATACTCAGCACAGGGCAATGGAAATTATAAATACATATACAGTTTAAGCTTGCTCCTGTTTAAGAGTCAACCCAGAATCCTGCTCACCCTGTAATGGTTACATCTGAGCAGTAGTACCTGGGCTACATTGTTGAAGCACAGATAAAGTGTTAAATTTTAATATGCTTTTTATACATCTTTAAAATATTCCAGATTTTATAAAGTAAATGTTTTTTATACCTTGTGTGGTTTTTCCATTGTATATGGTAAATGTAGGTGGAACAAAGGATCTGTGTATTATATAATTACAAAATATATTTTAAAGTTAAAAGTTTAATTTTTTTTCAAATTTTATATATTTTTGTAGGAGTACCTTTTTAAAATCTCCTAATGCCTTAAATACAGCCATCTGTCAATAGGTATTCTTACCATCTTAAACCATTAAGGAAGTTTCACCATTTTTTAAAAACCATTTTAACTTTTTGATGTAATGACAGGGTTGACTAACGTTGAGTTTTCCCCCATGTGCTTAACTTCATAGAATCTTGAGCTCAGAAAATACATCTCCTGGATCTCTGCAGTTTCTTTGACAGACGCAGGATGTGATCCACAGCATCTTCCATTTAAAGGACCCTTCATTGGGGCAATCGAATTGAATGGTAATCATTTTAGACTTATTGGGAACACAGCATCTCTTATCCAGACACATTCCACAGAAAGTGGGTTTGTAACTTTGAGTGCTTGAACATCCAGAAAAGACTAATTTTTCAGCTTTCAAGAGTTGGAAAGTAGGTTGGCACGTTTTTCCTTTGGGGATCTAAAAAGATACATGACAGTAATGTCTTTAAATTTGATTATAACAGTGATACTAAATAGAACATTTTATAACAAACACACAGATATAAGTTATTTTCAGCACATTGTTTTCTGCCTGTAAAATCCTCTCCCCACAGAGGTCTGTCTGTCCTCCTTATTCTTCCTCCACCGTGTTAGAGAATCCACTCCCCAGTGGTTTTTGCTACATTTCACCTAGCCCCAGAATAAACGAAAATATCAAGAGCCAGGTCTTATTAAATGTTTGTTTACCTACAAATCAGCAAATTCCCTTACACAGCTCAGACATTTTTTAGTGGATGAATAGGTGAATAAATATCTTAATCCCTTTAAAATGGAGTTGTTAACTTCTAATAGGGAATAACCTAGGGATGAGAGGGATTCTGTAGCATTTCTGAAAATTACTTGGGACAGCCATCCTGTACAGCTCTAAAAGTAGGACCAACTCCAGTTACACCACAGAATGTTTCATCATGGTCTCAGCAAGCTCGCCAAGCACAAGGCATTTTGGAAATGGTATAGTTCCCTCTCCAAGTTGGTGATATATAACTAAGATCAGAACTTCTCTCATGTCCATGATATTTATTTTTATAATTATATTAACAACCAAAATCTTTTATCCATTGCTTTTATTTCATGCATAACATTCATACAGAAAAAAGTTAGAATCTAAAAAGGATCTACTCTTAAAAAACAACATACATGGTACAACAATTCAGGCTGACCACGACCCCCACTTTTAAGCTGTTAGAGTATCTAACAGGTTAACATTATGTTCCTGCTTGGTGAAATTCTCCCCACAAAGTGCAGTTAGAGTAACATCTGCTGTCCTCCCAGATAGTTTGACTTTAAGAGTTATAATATGGTGATGGATGGAACCAAACACCATCCATCCCTCCAAAACACATACACGCTTTTCAGGAATCTCTTAATACTGAAGTATAATGAAGTTAAATCTAAACTTTACCTTTACTGTCTTTAATATATTACTGTCACAAGGCTGAATGTAACACAGTCTTCTCTCTTTTCTCATCTGACATTTGTTATTCTCATTGGTTACCCTATTAGAAATTCCCATCCCACATGTTCTGGAGCAAGGGGTCCACTTTGTTGCTTGCACAAGACATTTTCTTTTCCAGATAAGTGGGAGATTCCTATAAGCTAAAATAAAGGGGGAAAAGTACATGTGTATACATATATATATACTCATGTAGACAGATCATCTTTAAATCATTTTAAGCTAATAGTTAATAGATCCAAACTTGTACTTTTCCATAATGTAACTCAGAGTCAAATAAGCTTATGATCTAATTCATCGTTCTCCCATGCCCCAAATTACTTTTCAGTCATGTGTCACAGTCCATTTACTTAAGAGGGATAAACTTTTTACCTTTGAAAAACTGAACAGATATACCCATTTGCTGCTTTCTGCTTAGGTTCTGATGGATATATCTGCCTCTTCTCTGGTTCTTGCCTCATGCTTGATATTCACACCAGACATTAAAATACACATTAGTAGGACTAGGGAATTTAAGATGTCAATTAATTGATGTGGTTTAAATGTTAAATTTCATGATATATTAAAATCTAAAATAGAGCAGTTATATTTAAGAATTAAACTACAAATAAAACTAATTCTTTTTCCTCTGCTTGTTTTAATCTAGTCTTTTATGAAATAAATTACACCTAATAATCTAAATACTCATATGCTAAGACATGGCAAATGTGTAATCTTTTATTCATGCAGCTTAACATTCCCTGTGATCCCAGGCTTGTGGTATTCTCTCCATTGGCTAGCCATTTCAAATCACTTAGAGGAACACTTGGAGAATGAATGGATTGATGGATTATGGATGGGTAGATGTGTGGTTAGATAGATGGAACCCCCTTCACTGCCTGCTCCTTAGGAGAAACAAAGGGCTGAAGGGGGTAAATAATGAAAATATCAAGAAAATAAAAGAGGGCATAATACTCTTCCATCTTGTAAATCCATTGGGAGCTTCTTTTTCTGCTCATGAATAAATCTGGCCTTTGGTTGATTTTAAGCAAACTATATATTGATTTATTATCTCAAAGTATTTCCTAAAATCGATGCTTTGGGAATAAGGTTGTGATGTGAGTTTGTAATTGAACATTGCAAAGTTCTGACTATATTACATCAAAATGTCAATTTAAAACTTGAAAAAGACCCCCCAAAAATGCCTTTGTGATAGGAAATATCAGTCACTTTGGAGCATGTGCTATTTTTAAATAAAATGATCCTTTGATACCGTTTTTGGTGTTATTACAATAGGATCTTGCAACTGCACATAGAACTGAGGGAGAGGAAGCAGAAACGTGAAGATACCTGGAAGGCAGGCAACAGTTTAAAGACCTCAATGCAGGAAGCAGATTAAAAGCCTGGCGCGCATCTGCAATAAATAAAGGTAGGTTCAATTATTGTATCACCAATAACCCCACTTAAAGTTAAGCCAAGAGCTGCAGTTCAGGAATTTGCTGAACATTCATTAACAAGCAAGAAAACTAGAAGAGATTTTTAAAGTAGAAGTTTAGTGTTTGGTGAGCCATAAGAAAAGCATGGGGCGTCGTGTCATTGCGTGCTTCACACTGACCAAGCAAAAGCTAGATTCTAACCATAAACCGCCTGGAATTAACTATGTATATAAATTACTATCACAAACACATCTTAACGTATGTATTTGTCACTGTGCTTAACTTTAAAAGCCAAACTCCTGTTTGGACCCATAAATTCAGCTTTACGGTTAAGCAGAAGAGAGATAACTAGACTGAACATATACTTCCTTAGAAACACAGCTAGGCCCAACTCTCAATTACCAGAGAGATTTTTCTTGGGGTTTTTTGTTTTGTTGTATTTTCTTTTCTTGTATCGAAGCACTAACCACTGAGAATGACTGTCTGACTGACACCTCCAACCAGGTTCCAAGTGAATCCACTGAAACAGCTCTCACTCTACAAATCAGACCACTTGAACTGTATCCAAAGGTCTTTGCTTGTGGCAAACTGCTGCTCTAAGGTAGTCTGTCTAACCAAAGAGGTTCTCAGAAAGTATATTGAGTCACTCGGGCCCAGTACAGAAAAACAACTGCTCTT